GATTTAATTAAAACTGGTCATTTCTTTAATTCTTTTTTTTCCCAAATTACTTTATAAAGTACTGCATATTAGCATCTGTGAATAGGTCGTAGTCAGTAGATTACGTATTAATAAAACTAGACTGGCAGGTTATTTAAATAACAGATTTATATGTCACTGAATGTGTGTTACCAAAAAAAACCCATAAAATAGCTATGCTATAGCTCTGATTTATACTGATGAAACCAAATGCACACTTAAACAATATGCGATTTTACAAAACGATGACATATATCTCTTGATGAAAGGAAAATACTTAGCTACATCAGCAAGAGGATTCCACATCATGCTGGCAGACTGAGGTCACCAACAGTGGATACCTACAGCAACTGTTCCATAATTTACAATATTGAACTACATACAAGTCACCAAAAATGTAAAGGTATAGTCACAATAAAATCTAAGGCTGATCTATAAGCTAAGCCCTTCAAAGGAAACTAAGAGGGCCTTAATTATTAATGCATCTCCTCAACTTACAATTGTCTTTATATGCCACATGGCCAGTAACCAGAGTAAACTTACATTGGAAAGTAACAGTTGTAGAGCAAATATATGAATCTGATTGGTGGCTATGAGACAATGCAGACAGGTCTTATTTGAGACATGTTGATAAATAAGGCCAGATATATGCTGGAGAAAGAAGTCTTTGAGTAGAGATGATTTAATAAAGGTGTGACTTTTCTTCAGCGTGTTGGATGTGTTTGACTCTATCCTGTTCAGCTACATACAGGAAATTGTATGTTCTCTCAACCAACCAATTGACTAACATTTACACTTTTAATAAATCACTCTACTATACTAGAATATCAAGTGCTTGTGTAAAAAATGTGTGCAATTTTGTTTTTTTTCATGATGTGATGGCAGCATATTCTTACATGTGTCAAGAACAAAAATTACCATATACATAAACATGAACGTGCCCAAAGAAGAATGAATAAATAGGGAGTTTTAGAATCAATTACAAAAGCACCTTCCCTATGTTTAATGAAAGTTTTCATTCCTAGAAAATGTTGCGTGTTAGGAGATGGTGGGGTTTACAAAATCAGTAATGACAACACCACTTTCTTATTCCTCCCATTCAGTTGCAAATGTCCTTTCCTTGTATGAATTTATTTAGGTTTGAACATAAAGTAAAATTGTAGATAAATTAAAACTGTACTTAGTAACTTTCACATTTTGGCGGAAATGACCATATATCAAACCATGGTCAAAACTATGGGTGGAGAGCTTCTACATTTTCATGGGAATTAGTTTTGATTTCAACATTAAAAATGTCATGAATAAAGCACTTAACTGCCATCACCTACCAGTTTTTCTCTTTGTTTTATGTTGCTGTTCATCCCCTTGAGAAGGATTAGCGCTGTGACTCGAACCGTCAGCAGTGTACCCTTTTGTCGCTCTCATTGCGTGGATAACTCTAATACCCACATTTCATAGTTTGCTAGTGATGGACTTTTATATCATCTAATCAAATGTTTGAGTTATTTTACTTTCTGTTGGCATAATACTAGACCTCAAAAACAAAAATCCACCAAAGGGTCACAACTATGGCAGGTCAGAAATGTGACTGCATGTCACTGAAAGTGCTACAATGTTCAACTAATCATTTTGCTTAACTATATACATTTACTAGTAACAAATATTGAAAGGAGCACTAGCATGTAAACATTGAACATGCCCTATTGTTAACTCTTACCTTCTCCTATGATATTCTCCTAGGATAATAATTTACATAATATACTTTTAAAGGCAAAGTTAATATTTGACAAGTACACCAGCTTCTAAAATATCTTAGGAACTTGCTGAAAGCTCTTGCTATCCAGGTTCCCAGCTATGCCCACCATCATGCAACTGTTCTGGAGCTGATTTACTAAAAAAGCATAGGGTGTCCACTTAACTTTGAATGTCCAATCATGTGGCAGGGGAATAAAAAAGACAGTAGAAAATTTCTTGCACATAATTGGCCACTGAAGTTAAATTTGTTTGTGAACATTCCCTAACCCATTTTATAAAATCAACCCCTTTAAGGGATTTTACAAAAATATATTCACACTGATTGAAATTTCAAATTTATTTTTGCAATGACAATAAATAAGTCATATGAGAAATGGTAGGTAATTCAATCTACTTAAAGCTAAAATATCAGTTTTGTTTTGTGATGGCCTTTGGATAGTATAGGAAGTCATGAGTTTGACCTGTGAGTAACTGTTAAAGTACGGGGGCCAATGATACCCACTGCAGTTAAAGGCAACACTCTACAACAGTCTATCAATGTTAATCAGGGCATACTGATATGTCTTGCATATCATAAACCAAATTTTATAAGAAGATAAAAAAAATATGTTTTGTTTTTTTTCCTTAGCACATGGGCTAATACATTTTTTCAGCTTTACCATGATTGTCAAGAGTTATTTCAAATACAATCCACAATTTGAAAATATTTCATATAAAATCCTATACAGTCCTATCTCTGAAATGCCTTCCTAAATAAACACGACATGCCATGATTGATGTCATGGTCATCTTCATACTTTTTCTGTTGCAAACAAATAGTTACTGGTAACTGGGTTTGAGGAAAAGTAAAGTAGACATGCTACTTACATTAAGTGAGTATTCAAACAGTCTACTACTATTGGTTAGAAAAAAGAAAGTGTATTATATATGTGCTCAAAGGGAATGTAACATATGCACTTGGCATGTTTATTAAAGTCATTGCTTCTATAATAATCTGATTCTTTCCATACCTGTCACAAATAACAATCAATCAGCTACCAACTATGGTGTCCGTTTATAAACCAGCGGTAATAGATCGCTGCTCAGTTCTCCCGCATTCTCGGAGAACACAGTTCTCCTGTGAATGCAGTTTATGAAGCAGTTCTCCGAACGAAGGGAGAACGATCTCCAAACGCTGGAGAACGGTCTACAAACTCTGGAAAACGGCTGATTTTACTATAATCTCACGAGATTACAGTAAAAGATCAGTTTACTAAGCAGAGGTAAATTTATCTCTGCTTAGTTTTCGGTCCCTCCGATTCTCCAGCTCTGGGCTGGAGAATCTGGAGGGAGAACACAGATCTCCAGAGAAGGGCTGAACATATTCTCCCTGGGTGATATAAACTGTGAATGAGCAGAGAATAGCTGTGATCCTCTGAATCTCAGCTATTCTGTGTGTCATAAACGGACACCTAAGTGCATTCTAGACTGGAAACAAACATTCTGATTAGTTGCTATGTGCAACACGATTTTTTTTGTTAGGCTGGCACTGCATTATGCACATGTTAGTGACTTGCAGTGCCATATGCTTTAAATGGCATGCAAACATACCAGTGCTGCAGTACATTACTATGCACTGAGTTCCTAAAAAAGGGTTAAGTGCGATTTTGAATGCAAAAGCCAGCACTCATCCACGGACAGTGGAATCTTCTTTATCAAATCACTGTGATCAAACCACCATGGTACAAACAATGTTGACATGTTTAAGCTAGGTACAGCCTTAGCTTATGACTAAGGCTATATACTAGTTGAAACGCGTCAACATTTTTGTAATTTTTCCTTAGCTTAGAGAATGTGGTGAAAATTCACTTTGGAAAAAATACTCAATCTTGTGCAGGAAAAAATATATTTTTGCTTGTACATAACTGGATGATGGAAGTCATCAGAGTGTCATCCCATTAATTAAGCAAAGGGAAAATTCTCTTAAACAGTGAACAGCCTTAAAAAAATAAACTCGCATGTCCCCACAGTCTCTAGAAGACTAGAAGCTGCAGTGTATACCCTGAATTCTCTTGTTGCTTTTCTGATACCTGTCAACAGCTTTTCTGTTCCCCAGTATGTAGCGGGTCTCACAAGAAAAATCCTTCTGATCCTTCTGTTACCATACTTCTATGCCACTGCTCATCATATAATGATGTTCACGTGCACAAAGAGGACTTACCTGGACAGTAAAGCCATGCAGAGAGCAAGTAAACTTGCACAGTGCACTAACCATAGCAAACAATTTATTTTCAATAGATCCACATGTCTTAGCTTGCTAACACCTCACACTGTCTCTTTTTCAACTTTTCCCTCCCAAAAAAGGAGAAATATTCGGAAAGGACACCCATAATACAAAGCATAAATTAGTAAGACAAACCCAACAATCTGCAATGAAAAAGGATCAGACACTTTTAAATTGGTTGCTATGTAGATAAACTGACCTCTTTCACTTCTGGCACAACTTTAACTTAATTCAACCTGAGTATATAATAATACACTCAGCGTAACCTATAAATATATATCAATAAATAAGTCATTAATCCACAAATCATTTGTGTTTTGAATGCAATCATCTCAAATACATCAATGTAAACCTTCTGAATGTAATGTGTAAATTATGTTTTGGAAAAATGAGACAAACAAATCCATATTAGGAACAAAAATATACTGACAAATGCTAAAAAATATTTTTCCTTAACATGCTTTTGTGCATTAATCTTTTCGCTCTGTACAATTACATAAGTTAAGAAGACATATTTCTTTACTACAAATTTACCAAAATATTGAAACACATAAAAAGTTAAGAAAATAAAACCAGCAAAAATGTTGCTTGTATAGGCATCGGTTATATTTCTTCCACTGCCAGAGACACCTAGACCACACTTGTGTGATATGTTCCGCTTCTCTATGACATGGAAGGACATGGGGGACATTAATCTGAGGTTTATATCCAAAATGAACCAACCAGAACTGCCAAAGATCAAGGACAAAATACACCATGTCAGCATCTAAGAATATATACATAATAACCCCTCACTATACAGTAAAAAAAGCAAAAAAAAAAACAAAATCAATAATTTTTACAATATACTTTCTTCATTTTGGTAGCAGTTTACATAACCCCTTGAAGAGGAAAAATACCTCTTTGATATGGTGGGGAGAATAAAGATTTGAATATAACCCTCAGATGTTAATATTGCAATAGTTTAAGAGCTCTTGGCGACGTTAAGTGCTGAGCTGATCTTGCATGCCAGCCACTTCCTAAGTGGACAGTAGTACTCGTTGTGGAACTGCTCAAATTCTGGTGTTTGACGGATTTCATGAAGAAAGGAAATGTCAATGTCCGACTCAAGCAAGACGAGAAGAAGAGGAAGAAGCACCAAAAGCAACCCCAACGCCACCAAAACAAGTCGGGAGAAGCTCTTCAGGAAGGCATTCAGCTGCATGTTTCCCATTAGGAAATTGTAGCTTACACTTAGGGCTTTCCTGGCCTCCTTCAGTTCTTCCTCCTCTGCAATCAAAAATGCATGTTCATCTGCATCAAACTCCTCAAATGAATCAACATCGTCTCTGTTGCTCTCTGGTCTGAGGGAGCTGTTAAAAAGCATTTCAATGCCCTCATCAACTGGTGTAGGCAACAAGCTAGCACTTGGGTTATACATCTGCTCTGAGATAGTTAAAGGCTCCTCCTTCAAACTTTCTTCCTCATCGTGCCTAAGATCTGGTATCACTTCCCTATCTCTGGAAGGGGAAATGCCAGCCACAGGAGGGGGAACTGACATCATTGTGATGTGAAAGCAGGACACCTAAAAAGAAAGAAAAGAAAAGGCATATTTATTACAATTCAATAGTATCAATCATGATGGTTTATTCAATAAGATAAATAGCAAAATGCAGTAACCCATAGCAACCAACCAGCGATAATATTTGGTGATCTGGCACAAGTGTATTAAAATCTGATTGGTAGCAGTGGATTACAGCACTTTATGCTCTGTGCTCAGCCTTATAGACCAATGTTTTCATACAGAAATTAAAGAATACAATTTATTTAAAACAGTATTGTTAGCAATGCAGGGCTTATTGTGAGAGGACATATTGAGAGAAATCTTGGCAAATATGTTATTATGTTAGGTTTCTAGTCCTTGCTGTATCATTAAAAGACCTCTCACACATTCATTCTCACCAGAATAACATGTCTGCCTTTTGGGTGTTCTTGTTTATCTCTGGGGTTTCCCACTACGCCTATCGTAGTCTTTTTAATAAAAAATAAACTACAAAATTCTATACTGTAGCTGTGCAGGTCACAAGAGCAGTCTTACCACTAGTCCTCAAGGGATGTATTGGTATAAACTTCAATTTTCCCACACCTACCAAAAAACTGCAACATCCAAAGGGAGTGCTCTGACACTCAGATATTACAATCCTGATTGAACGCAAGCACGAATTTATAGCAATAACCTTCAAATGCACTAATTATTTCACATGCACCTAAAGCATATATTGATGTGCAGGAAATAAAACAGACCAGGGGTGGACTGACAACTCATGGGGCCCCCGGGCAATAGGGGATCATGGGGCCGCTGTGTCCTTGCCAAACTCTAAAAAACCTATGAAAAAGGTACCAGGGTCATCTCATGGGGCCCCCTACTGACCCCGGGCCGTCGGGCAGTGCCCAAGTCTCCAAATGGTCAGTCTGCCCCTGAAACAGATGTAATACTATTTAATGACAACATTCTAATATTTTGCCAGGTACCAATACTTGATTTGGTTAATGCAACCTAATGATGTCTTTTCATATGTACATATTGAATGGCAATCAAGTCATTTAGCACTAGGGGTAGCCATATCATATTTCTACATCATCCACAATAATTTATAGTCAAATCTTTTTAATATTTGTACACTTTAAGTTGCAACAAGATCCAGTTTGCTGGTTATTAGTTATACCCAAGCGTTTCAGTTTTTATTACACAGTGGAGCTTTGAATCATCATACAGTATTATCTGGGGTACGACTGGTATAGTTTCGTTGAGTTTCAGGGTTGTGTACCTTCTGCAACCATTACTAATGGAGTCTTTAAAAACTCCAGGAAAAATGTTTATTTAAAATGTGCTAGGATACATGTACAGTAGCTAAGCATATTGAGGTGTATACCACTTTCTGGATTGCTGGATTTTCTTTACTATTTACACTTTTATTGATCCTCTGATAGTATAGCTCCAGCTGTACTTCCAAGTACTCTGACAGAAGACCTTCAGGTCCCACACACAGCAGTTGACCTTTCTCTTGTCTGCTTCTCCTCTCTTGTAGTTCAGTCATAGAACACTTTGTATACTGTGAACCCATTTACAGAATACAGATCACTTGTGAATGGATACAGAAGAGGAGTGACAGGCAGTGCAGTTTGTGGAGAGCAGCAAGACTGCTGTTGGGGAGCCGGAAGTATAACAATATTCTATGGTACTCAATAAAAGAATAAAGGATAAAGAAAACACAGCAATCCAGCAGGTGGCACGCACCTCTAGACACTTAACTATTTGTAATACAACACATTTGAAATATTTCCCTAGAGTTCTTTTTTAATCTTCCTCTTAGATTTTAATTTATTTTAAGTAATGGAGATTTTAACAGCAATAAGGAGCAAAGCAAGAAACTACTGGAGGGAGACTTTATATTTGGAACCCCCACTTATTCAGCAATACATTGTCACGTTCACAAATCATATTGGTTGAGTAAGGTATATTCTGCATCACAGCATGGCTCTAATACAATATGAGCAGAAAAAATATGAGAAAACAACAAGAAATATGAGGCCTTGGTCACCACGCGTCCCGGGTCCCGACCGTTAGTACAAGACCCGTGGACTCTGTGCTGGGAGCGTGCTGTGCGGCTCACTCTCAGCAAAAAAACACAGGTACACATATATGGAAAAAGACTCACTTCAGTGAGACCACATATATGTGTACAGTAGGTGCCAGGGGGTTATAAATCAAAATACACAGCAAATGACGGGGAATTCAGATTCACCCCCCCCCAGAGTTTAGTCCTGGCACCCTAAGGGTTTGTGCTGGTGCCAGACTGGCACAGGAAAGGCAACACTTCTACTTGTAAGATTTTTATGTTCTCCATTGTCAGACACAGATGTGTATTCTAGCCAAAAAGGATAGAGTTGTCAGACTTCACTATTTGTGTTTTTCACAGTTGTGGTACAAAGCAGTAATAAAGCAACAAACAATTTGTTTATTATACACAGAGCTCTTTAAGTTAAAATGTTCTTTAATGTTAAATTAGAAACAAACATCCGCAGCAAAAGTCAACATTGCCCTTCAGCTCTACTTAACAATGTACCAACCCAAACCGAACAGGATCATTTCTGCAGGGCAGAAGTAAATTGTTTTATTGGTATGTTTTTCTGCAAGGGATGGTGAGGGGCATAATATATATATATATTTATATATATATATATATATATATATATATATATATATATATATATTATTATTATTTTTTTTTTTTTTTTTTTACGTCTAGTGTACGTCTAAGTAGAAGGAGGGTTAAATGCTTACAGGGTTATATGCCAAAATAAAAAAAAAAAAATGTCTCATGTACATATTGTGATTAAATTCCTGTATTTGTAAATATGCCGCTTCAGTGCAATGTAAATTTTTCAATCACCAATCTGTTAGCGAAAGAAGAATCAAGATGCCTAGCCCACTGTACATAGGTTAATTTGTGTACAAGAAAAAATAATTGGCTCTCATTTAAAGATTACTGATGCTAATGGCCCTCTGACCCACCATTATTATGTGATGTTTTCTCCCTCACAGTTTTAACACAGGAGTGCGTTGTAATTACTTCTGTAATCAAGAGATTTGATGGATCGCCTCCCCAGGAAATAATGACTCACTTATTGCATCCTGTACTTTTACATAATACAATTTACAACATTAAATAGTACTACATATAATTATTCATCAGTTTTATACTATGCAGCACCATTATAGTATATCTACAGAGACATTTATTTTTCTTTATTTGGGTAAAGTATGGATAAAAACACTGTATGATTCAATATTTTTTTATTGGCTCTTTATGACAGTAGTAAAGGAAAGGGGATAAGCATATGTTACAATTTGCTGTATTACAACCATTGAGATAATAATTGTAGCACTGAATAGTGCACATTAGGCATACGTGGTAAAAGAATACGTAATGAACAGAGAGAAACAAATAGTCAATAAATAAAAGGCACATCATGAAGGAACTGCTCTGTCCAATTCGCACTGGACAGAGCTGTTCCTTCATGATGTGCCTTTTATTTATTGACTATTTGTGAGTACAATACCTATTTTTAACATTCAATAAACACACTTTTAAGGTAATGCACTAGGCTGGTGCGCCCCCTGTTTGTTTCTCTCTATTCAGTATATCTGGACTCCCCCGGTCCTTTGAGGGCAGCAAGGCGTGCATATCCCAAGAATTTCGTTATGTGGTCCTAACGACATTCAGTCCATCCCTAAGCATAGGAGTATCTGGGTTTTCCATTTCTACACGTAAAAGAATATGTGTTAGAGAATAGGTGTAGGATAAATTCCTACTGATTGTATAAAATCCTCAGCTACTTTATTTATTTCAGGTACTTATATAGCACTGTCAATTTATGCAGTGCTTTACATATACTGTATATAGTACAGTCACATCAGTCCCTAACCCTCAAGGGGTGTACAATGTAAGGTCCCTAACTTACATTCATACATACACATACTAGGGTCAAATTAGGCAGGATCTAATTAACCTACTAGAATGTCTTTGGAGTGTGGGAGGAAACCAGAGTACCCATAGGAAACCCACGCAGGCACAGGGAGAACATGCAAACTCCAGGCAGGTGGTGCTGTGGTTTGGATTTGAGCCAATGACCCTAGTGCTGCCAGGTGGACGTGCTAACCATCTAGCCCCTGTGTTATATACAGCAAGGAACAGTGTGGAAAATCCGGGATGAGAAGGGGAAGGAGAGGTACATACTAGTAAATAGGATGAACAGAGGAAAGAGTAGAGCAAATGTAACCAATACATATACCATTACATTTGTTTCAGCAATGAAGGCAAATTGAAACCAGTGTAGTGTATTTAGAATTAGCTAACTGCTGGGACCATTATGATGATGATACAAGCAAAGGTTTGTTCCATAACACTGTAGTGATTTAAGTCTCACAAAGTTCACAAGATGCTGGGGACCAAGCAGTGGATTTCCAGAGTCTGGCAATATTTTCTGTGTAGGGAGCGAGCTCACTGAATTCTCTATACATAGTGACAGAGATGTCATAGGCACCGCTCAGTCTTTAGTCATGACTGGGAGATGGTGGGACAGGCTTCTGATCATTTGACCACTGTGACATCCTATCCGCCCTGCTCCATGGATGTAAAGACCCACTTAAAGAAATGCCAGGGCTGAGTGGGAGGGGGTTATTAAAAATCTGACAGTTCTAGTTCTAATACCTTCTCACCACCTTATCAAAACCTAAAAAAAAATGTCCTAAATATCTATCTCTGTTCTCTTCAAATTTTGCACTCTCAGAGATCAGTCAATCACTGGATGACAATTCTGTTCTTACTAGGATCTGTCCGTGTGGCAATATGGGTGGGTGAGTACTGAATGCTCACAACTACTATGGAGCCTCTCCCTGTTTACAATGTGCTTAGAAGGTCTAAAATATTAAAATACAATATTTCTCACAGTGTATCATAGAACCTTATGGTTACCAACCAATGTATTTCTAGGTACAACACAATACCAGTCTTGCCACAA